AAACAATCACCGCAGGCTGCTGCCGCACTCGAGGACAAGGATTACGTTATCAATGTGCTCGGGCGTAACGTATCTGTCTACTGTCACGGCATGCGATCCGGCAATCCCGTCGAGTATCTGACCTTGTCTAAGGACACCGAAAACTATTCCGAAATCTACGAACAGAGGTAAATTTCGACGGACAAAACGCGCGTCGTGCTTGTTTTATACTGATAGTAGGCTTAGTTAACGGACTAAATTGACTGCTATAGTTTCAAGTACTACCTACTGCAGATAAGATAATACCAGATTAGGTATGGTAATAAATAATATTACCAGGTATTACAATTTCTCCATTTCTTTTGGTATCAGAATATTATTAATTTGATTGATTTATGAGTCAAATAGTAAGTACCTACCTGCTTTAATAATAATCCTAGTTTTGAAAATACTAGTACAAAGTAATATTATTATAAATACTGTGAAATAATAATAAAGTACAAATTTGTACYCACATATTTTGCTGAAAAAATTTCATTAGTTAATCAACATAAAGTGTGAGTTTTGTCCTAGTCCATTTAGGTTATATTATTATTGTTGTTTTAGCAATAGTATGACGAGTTACACTGACAAAACGTAGGTATTATTCAATTACTAACAATATTTATTTTTTTTTATTCGAAATACATTTGTGTTTATTCATTTTTATTTTCGATGGAAATAGATTAAAATATCTGCAATTAAAGTGATTTAATATTAGGTAGGTATAGACTTATAGGAGTAACATGAACTTATAATGCTATASTTATTTCATAGTAGGTATAGTAGGTAGAATAATTTACACACTAACTCACYCGAGTTACAATCAAATTGYCACCTGCCAATTCCCTATTTGTGTTACACAGCTTCCGCTGCGTTTATATTTATTTTCACACGTTTAACTTTACCGAGCATATTCAAGTAACGTAAAATTGATAATACAGCAGGTCAGAGTTATGTGTAAGCTTATGTCTCGGCTTTATACATGTGTTTGATAATATTATTATTATTAAAATTATTATAATTTTAGTATAGTAACGTCATTCAATATAACGCTTACACTATCGGTACTACTTATATTTTGATCGTGAGTGGTAATTTTCGATTTTTGTTTACAGGCTCAAAGACCCGAGCACATGTCCGTTCAACGGCGAACGTCGCCAAAACTGTCCGTGCGACAACGTGCCTGTACCGTCGTCTGGACTGACCGTGTTCACGAAGATCCGTTTGAACATCACTTCGTTAAGAGTCGATTGTAAGTGATCTATATATACAATATGAGTATATTTAACTGTATAATATGRTACATAATAAGATAGGTACATTTATGTTGGTATAAATGATTATGTACCTGCAGTGGATACATATGATTTTGCGAAACAATGATTGTTCCAAACTTCCAACATATTCCATTTTGATAAATGAAATTATTATAATTTAAATGGTATTCTCAATTAAACAGCTTCAGAACAATAMAATTTTAATTTTCCGAAATAATAAATACTTAGGTAATTAATCTATTCTATATCAAAATAACTAAATGTGCTTGTTGTACAGATTGTTTTTGAATAAAAAAAAAAAAAAGGTAATTAATCTAGGTAATATTGCATTCATTTTGTCATATGCTATTGTTAAATTATAATAAATAATATGTTTTTACGAAATAAAATGATATTTCATTCCAACATGTTACTTTGACGGAGAATTAACACCTACCAAAATATTACGATATTGTCATTCAAAATCATCATTTAATTATGGTGTATAGTTCTACCTTCGGGGGATGTTTCAGGTAATGTATTATCCCATATTCTCATATCTAGTTTCACAGTTCTTAATATAATTTTTTATTATTATTTATATTGCAACTATTTATCCAATATAATAAATAATAAATAATATTCTTAATTGTTTACCTGGAAAATATTTAAATAATTGTTTAGTTACATACTTTTTGGTACCTACGTTATTTTGTAGAATGTTGTAATTTTACTCAATAATTTACATTTTAATATTTATGAACTATAAGTTATAAGCTATAATATAGACATCATTGTTCTGCGCTCATTTCTGTATATTTTTGAGCTGGAACAGCTATATGATATTATATAATAATTTATTTGTGTCAGCGGTATTTTAACACGTTTTTTGGAAATTTACAGCAAAAGATTTTACGTTCTCCAAACAAATCAAAGGCAAACCCGTACCATTTGGTGAAGCCGGTGATTGTTATAGTAACTCGAAGAGGGGTTGTCCGCAAGGCAGATTCAGCATTGACTTATCGGGCACTGGCATGAAAATATCACATGATACCACTTGGGTGGGCAAAGGGTCGAACACGTCGTTTTGGGTGAACAAGATAGAGGTAACAATATAACAATACTATTATTATATAATAATTAATATAATATTTGTTGTTATCRCCAAGGAAATCTTTTCCTTTTTCACTTTCGAAAATTTCTTCAAGCACATGTCTTAAATACAGCGGGGATGATATTGCTTAAATTTACCCCGAATCAAACGTCACATATATAATCCCACTTTGGATCATATTATTATAATAACAATGTTCACAATAAACAACTGAAGACCGCTTATATTATATAACAGATTGACGTGTTCTATAGTCATTATTATGTTTTCACAAAAAATTAAACTACACCAAGACAATCGACATTGTCAGTGTTCCCACACCGTGGTGTCCCAGCTGCAGCGTTTTAATAATTATTATTATTACACTCGCTATTTATATTGTTTATTGTTCGTTTTAAATTTTTTTTTTTGTTCTTGGCTCACAATTCTTTTCTTGTACACCGTCGGGGCACGTTTTAAACGGCATAAAAATAACATAAATTCTTACAATTATTTACAGGAAAACATGAAAATAGCCGGCAGATGCGGTGGATACTGCGGTACGTGTGTGCCGATGCAAGGGTTAATATTGGACGTGGTTACGCCATAACAACTCAATAATACTAAATATTATAATACATTAAATTAAATTAATTTAGTATTATATTATGCGGCCAAAAGCGATCATGGTGTTACTAGGTGATCATCGAGCACAGTATTATTATTATTACTATTATGTTATACGCGTACTTATAATAATGCAATATTAATTTGTCAGACGGACACTACTGTGCTTACACGTACAGCATTCATGATATTATTATTATTATCGTTATTATTTTAACTATTTTAGTTTTATTACATCGATTACCAAAATGGTCTAGAGAAATGTAGACTCGATTGGATCCAAATGATTATAGGGCCATAAAACTAGGACATTTTTTTTATTTTCAGTTTGTTTTTATTTTTTCATCATTACCAGCAAATACTACGGCGTGCCATTAATATCCAATATTATTATTATTGTTACCTATCAACTATTATATTTAAAGTGAAAATACTCGTGTATTTTTATTTCACAGTGTCAATAATTTTTGTTAAGCAGTTAAATAATATAAATTGTTGTTAACGTTTTATTGACTGGTCTGTTATTCACATAATTATACAAAATAAAATGCCACTTCAAAATTATCGGAATATGCTTCTTCCGTCTTAACGTAACATTTTTCAAGTCAATTTATCTGATTATACACGATTTTTAAAACTTTATAGACCATGATCATATGTATCCACGAAATTACAATACTGTTTTTTAATACAATTTAATATAATATAAAAATTAAATTTATKATAATCGTAGATTAAGATAATTGATAATTGTGTCCCTAATATAACTATAATTATTAAGCGTATTAACTAAGTACCTAACTATAGTTTTGATGATTTTCAATTGCATATAATTAAGTCATTTAAAGTCGGTTTATGATGTGTGTTCAATTTATTTTAATTTTTGTACATTTTCCATGTTATTAAATAGTATGTGTGCATGTGCCTATACCACAATAAAGAAAAGGCATATTATTTTTAATAATTATAAATGGTCAGTATTAAGAACGATATTTTAATCTGATATGAACAAAGACTTCCTTTTTATTTTATTTATTATTTATTATTTTTATTTTTATTTTATTTTTTGTTGATCTCTAGTCATAACATTTTCGTGGTTTGAACCACATTAACATAATTTATAAATAGGTACATACATAAATATAATTATTTAAATTTATTGCTAAATTTTATACGTTTCCTTATATATAATTAATTTTATAATATAATGTATTTATCGTGCATAATGTTGTTTTTCCTTACAMATGCCTCCTTTTACAGGTTGAACAGCAAATGTTTTTGTGATAAAACTGAATAATATCRATATAAAATCTTAAACACATAAACATACAACATAACAAGTCTATAAATACAATATGAAATGAGAATCGAAAATCAACTACATAATATTGTTATACGCAACTATWAGTTCGATTGGATATTTAGTTATCTTCCAAGACGTAACATATATAGCACCATGCTAAATATTGGTTWTTATTTAGTGTTTACATTGATTTTAACACTGAAATTATAAATTGTTTATGGAAAACACGAACATAATTTATTTTTATTTTCAATTTGGTACTCATAAATTCAATTTACCGTATAACGTAGGTATAAACATTATAAATGCTAACTTAAATGCTAACTTAAATGCTTAATATTTTTTTATTCTGAGCAGAGTGATGAATTTATTGATTTTATAAAATATGATRAAAGTTTTTTATTTTTACACTAGAAAAAATGCTTAAATTTTGAAGGAAGTTTTATGAAGCACATTGAATGTGCTTCAATTTTTTAGTACTTATCAAAATTTTAACAGCTTTTTTCTGTTTTGATGTAGGTACAACAAACAATAATACGACAAATAGATTTCCTGTTTTCCTTAGTTTGATACATATAACATAATAAAGTATAATATGATGTGTATACTGTTTAATTATACATTTGTCATTTTCATTAATAATTCATCAATCTATGTGGATGTTGGCATCAAGAAGAATTATTGTGGTGGATTGGCTGAAAGCTAGACCTAGGTTGAATAATTTGGTTATATACATTATAGTACTTCCTCATGATCGCCGTTATGTACTCGTACTACAGTAGTAGCATGAAATAAAGAATAATATTATAAATATGATAATATATATACTTATTATTTTTCATTTGTTACCTAATTTAACATTTTATGAATCATGATTGTATATAAAAAGCTCTGATRAGGAARCAATTTATGAGCATACTATAAGTGAATGCTATCGAAATGTTATGTTTATTTTATTTAAGTTCTAAATATCAAAATATAGGGAATTTATTTGTTATTTGGTGAGTTTTATGCATAGTTCTTCACRAAATACATAATATTATGTTTAGAATAAAATTATATACTAAAACATTACATTGCTTTTGTTGCCTATACTATTATGCATTCGAGGGATTTGTGCACAATAATTTCAGTAGGTACAAATAAATAAAGATACACTCAATACTATAATAACTTTTACCGCTATTGACTCCAATCAAAATGTTTATTTTGTCCTTCATCAAAATTAAAATACAAAAAATATTGTATTAAAAAAATATATTTTAATTAATAATTACAGAKGATTAAGTGAGTAAAATTCACAGTGATTTTGTTGATACACCATTTGATAAGCTTTTGAAGTAGGTTTTTATGACATCATTGTAACAAAATATACTTTTAATTCCGTWTCAAGTATGCTGAAGCAATTTTTGCACTTCAATTATAAATTTATTCAAACTCTGATATTTAGAATTTTTTAGTAGATATGTATAATGTATATGGTACCTAATTTATTGTAGACTTTAAAACTTAAGTGTTAAATTAATATTATAATATAGACTTAAGTATTTAAGACATTAATATTATGATTGTCTATTTTTTAAATTGTAGTTATATACGAYTTAAASATTATTTTTTTGTACAATAGTCAATAATGTAATGTTTTTTWRKTWWTWAAWTTT